GCGTTATCACAGATGGATATTCGGCAGGAGGCAAGTCATGGCCATTCTTTAACAGTTGGAAAGCGATCTCCTCTGAATCAGAAAATTTCTTCATAAATATCACTCCAGGATTTTCGCAGTCAAATCTAAAGCAATGCGATGACTTTATGTTTGGGACAGCTTTAAAAAATTGTGTCAGGAATGACTTCCAGTCCCTAGTTGGTACATAGACCACTCCTGCCTCATTTCCCACAAGCTGAGGTATATTTACTTCAGCTGTTGTTGCCCTTCTACAGCAGTCAGCAATATCATTTAAGCATGAAACATGCAAGGTACGATACTGTTGCTTAAACAGTCCAAAGCACCAGTCTGGGGCAAACTTAGTGTTGCCAGCTACCAGAAATTTAATGTCAATCCGCTTGTGTAAACCATGCAGTGTTCTCCAACACAAGTACGCCATCATTATATGATTTTTATTTTGACCACTACAATTATCACAATGGAGAAGAAGATGCTGTTCTCCTAAACCGTAGTCAAAATAATGATCCATGAAGGACACAACTGAGTTGGAGCCCATACCAGTGGTCACACTCTCATCGATCAAAAAGTTAACCTGCTTAGTGACACCTTCACAGTGCACGCCGAATACACCACATTTGCGAGCAGTCAGGAAAAATGTTGGGCCAGGCTGCTCCGGGTTGTTGGGTAAAAACACCTGAAATGAAAATAAAATAATTGCATTAAAAAAAATATCTGTGCTATAAATTCATGTGTTATCATTTGCAAAAGGTTTCAGAACCAGTCTCTCGAAGCTGGTAAGAGCACCGTGGATATCATGTTATTGTTGAAAAAAAAAACAAAAAAAAAAAACAGGTATAAACAGGTGGAAGGATCAATTAAAGCAAGTAATTGGATTTAACTTTATATAAAATTAATAATAATAATAATAACAATAATAATAATAATTAAAAACACCAGTACCTGTTGGGCATAATCAAAACTGTAGTGCATTGCACCTTGGCGAGAGCATTGGTCATGTTTTCCAAGTTCTGCAGGATCCTGATCAACAGATACTTTTGCATCGGCCGACTCCAGTTGGTACAGCTTCCTTTCCTGCTGCACAACCCGCAGATGCTCCTCTTGATCTTTAAGAAGTTGTTGTTTCTCAGCAAGTGTTTGATTCGCTGACTGGTAGACCTTGCGGTTGTTTTTTTGGCAGGTCCAGCATAAATCTGTACGTGGCTTTGTCGTACGAACATAGGGGCAGTAGGCATTCCATGAATTATAGAAGGATTATCTCCCCAAAACACGATACTCTAAAAAGAGAAAGGGGTATGTTTAATGTAATTTTTTTGGACTAAATATTTCAGTTACATTGCGGCATCTAGAATATGGTGGTCAATACAAAATAAATATTGATATCCTTTTGAGCTGAAAAATAATTTAAAACATTAATTTTTGTTTAAAAGCATGGAATGTTAAAAACCATTAAAATATATTCTGTAAATACCTTTCCCATCTGGGCTTGTCATTTCTTGTAACACCTTTTTGTAAAGCCTCCAAACCTTTGCTTTGGTGACATTGCATGGCAAAAGTCTTGTTCGGGGGTCAGCACTTTTAAACCCAGGAACACGGCCAGGTATTACAAGAGCATGGACTTCAGCGTAGCCTGTGATAACTCCACAGCACGTTTGTGGTCCTCTCCGCTGAACTTTCTAGTGTTATTTCTGCAACCACCAGACCTCTTTGTTTTCAACTCAATACCATTCGATAGGTAATGCTTGACTAATGCTGTCAATGTTTTATCACTCATCCTACATTATCAAAAAAGATAGATACACATACTGTCAGATTACCATTCATACATAAAATTCATACATTATGAAACTGTTACATTGTAATCAATAAATTAGAATAATACTACATTACTTACATATGAATAATACAGAATAGATCTCTGCACACTTTCAATCCATCAACAAAGTAGCCAATACTTGTACGTCCATGCTTCCTGTTTTTGTTCGAAGATTCTGTTAATTCAGATGTCCGGACTCCACCACTAGAAATCTTTCCAAGTAGGAACATGCACTTCTGGTCTGGAGTTAATGCGTTTATTTGGCATCGTACCTGGAAAATCCACTCATCCAAAAATTTATGGCTGCAACCCATTCCTGCATATGGTTTCCGACACCTACACTTCTTTGTTTGAATTATTTCCATTTCCTGTAATATTATCATAATATTATTATTAATGTGATTGTAATACAGCAAATTTTGCTTTCGTTACCTTTAAACTGATACAACTATAATTACGATTGGCACAAGCAAAGTATCTCCAAATATTAATTTTTATTACCACTGCCATTCTAGGTACTGTATTTGCCGAAGCAACTGACAGAAACCCCGCTAACATAGAATTGTGTTCAATTTGACAGGCCAGTCAGTGCTGGGACAGTAGTTGGTACCTTTTATGCAATCAACATTACTTTAAATTTTAGGCCACACTAGGCCTACCAACTGTGATTCACCCTGTCAGTAAGGTTGGGTTGACAATATTTAATCAATAACCATTACTTGTTATAAGACGAAAATTGTAGGCCCACTCGACTCGCTTGGATAAGCCTAAAAAATTAACTAGGCCTAGCTAGACAGGCCTAAGCTGACTTGTCTATTCGTTAATATTGATAAAAATAAAGAATTCTTACCTTCTCATCACTTTCTGACATACTGCATTTAAACCACTATTTCTCAAAAAATTATCCTCCGCAAGATCACCAACCATGTAGCTTTCATCCCCTTCCTCCTCCCAAATTTCATCTTCGATATTTACATCAGGGTGATCATCGTCGTCAACATTGTCATCACCTTCCGGCTTGGCCAGCATCGTCGTCACTTTCATTACTGGATTTTTCGTCCTCATCCTCAGTATCGATGTCGTTTTCATCTTCAATCGGATCATCAAAATAATCTTGTATCATATGTGATAATAATACTTGATCATTTTCCGATAAACGAAGGCATTTCGCATCATTAATTGCATCGCTTTTGGTTTACAAGTTTTTTTTTTTAAATGCAGTTTGTCAGAAAGTGATGAGAAGGTAAGAATTATACTTAATCATCTTTAAATAATGCTATCTTTTTAATCATGCTTTCATATCGGCTTTGTCTTTAGTTTTCTTTTTTTTCTCTTTCACCTAATCTGATTTTTTTTTTAAACTTTTGAATTTGATAACATTATTTTATATTTCGTGAGATACCACCTTACGAATTGACTTGTTTTGAAAAAAACTACTTGGTTTACCTGGTTTCACATTTTATTACTGTACATGTATTTTCCTAGATTGTACATTAATATTTTTCATGCTTTTTTTTTTGTTTTCCTTGTGTGTGACTTCTTAAATTGAGGCTTTTTTAAAAGTCTGTACTGTATCATCGATACCTATAAATGATATCTTTAAATACAATTAATAAACTAGACATGTCACCCATTAAACTTTGTAAATTATGCAATACTTAATCTTAAAATACTGTTTTACTAATTGACTTGTTTTCTGAGGTTGACTTATTTTTGTGCTTTTATACAGGTTTTATGAAACCTGTATGTTTGGGGTTTTTTTGGAGTCCATATGGTATTCTCAACAATTCATAAGCTAGACATATCACCCATTAAATCTAGTACTGTCATATAGGTTGGGTGTTTGGTTTTTCTAACATTTTCTTTTTTTATATTCTTTTCCATCCAAGTTGTTGCCCATTCAGTTTTGTTTTTAGCTTTTGAATTTGGAGACAATGTTTTGTATTTCTTGAAATACTGCTTTACTAATTGACTTGTTTTGAAAAAACTGCTTGGTTTAGCCTTTTTCACATTTTTCCATACAAAATAATTTCCTGGATTTCCCTTTTTTGGAGAGACTGACTTTTTAAATTTTTTTGGACTTTTTTTAGCTTTCTTTATGAGACTCATCATATTTGGGGTTTTCTTGAAGTGTCTATCCTCAACACTTATAAATGCACTTTACAGCAAGTGTGAGCAGTTAAATCTATATTATACAAAGCAGTATCTTGATTTTTATTTTCTTTATACAATCAAAAATGTATTGATAATTTATAATGAGACATTCACTTGTCATTGCTCGTCGAATATAGCGTTTGGAACAAAGTATTTTTTCAGGCAATGTTTTTGATAGTCTTCCACCATGCTCTTTATTAAGTTTTGTAGCTCTTTGTGGGTGTATGATTTCCCCTCCATCTTTGGAACTACTCCACTTAAAACAAATAAATAATTTCCAAATATAGATTTTTAGTAGTTGTATGGCGCAACGGAAAGAATACAACAAACTAACTTGTATACCGTAGATAAAATTTATTTCAAGTGAAAAATGCTTAATGTAAGCTATAAAAACACTTGGCTATCGATGAAGAAAATAAAACAAAATATTGCAAAGTAAAGTTGAGGTAGTAATCCGTATAAGAACAATTTGAAAGTGTGTGGTAAATAGCAGTAGGAATACTCTGTTATATTGGGGTAGCATCCTACCATATTTGGGAATATACCGAAGATGAGGTAATGACTAACCAATAGGAATTAAGGATAAATACATGATGTCATTGTTTAAGTTTAGAGAAGTAGGATAAGTCATCCTGGCACATTCCTGACTTGTGTGTAATCTTATTTCCATGAGGAAAACAGGTTGTTGTCCTTTGATTGACCTTAAATGCTGAATACAGTATAATATATAGAGTAAGTTTACAAGTGAAATATAAAAGATTATAGGCCTATATACAAATTCAATATTGCTGTTTCCAAGATCTAATGTGATAGATCGTTGTCCATAAGTGGCAATAGTAGAATTGTTTAGCTGCAGTAAGCTGAAATTCTTGTCGCCTATTTTTGCGGTCGTTAGAAGTAGCAGGAACAACGCTGATTTCTGCCCCAGTGTCAATGAGGAAGCGTTGTTTTGTGAACTTATTTGTGACAAAGAAAAGGCGACTTACATTATGGCCAGCAACATTCACCGCTCTCAGTTGTTGGCGTTGGCATTTCCCGACGAGCAAGGCTGGTTGCATTTGCGAGCATGTTTACCGAATGTTCTGTGGTACCAGCAAACATCATCCTTCACATGTTTATCGCGTGATGGTGAACGGGATTGCCGTCGAAAATGCTGTTGTCGCCCTCGACTTTCACTTCTGCCCCGAATATGCGTTTGCATTTCCTCCAGTTTACATGAAAGGTGTTGAATTTGCTGTTTCAATTCATGTAAATCGCTGGATTTAGCTGTCTCCTCTGTAATAGATAATAAATTAGAAGAAGATGGAGCAGTTGTAGAGACTTCCAGGATTCTGTCTGCAAGTGTTGTCAAATTTTGCATGTCCAACTCATCTTTAGTTGATGCTAACACAAGTTGGGCGCTGGAAGGAAGACGACTCAAAAACAATTCCTTCATTATGGAGGGTTCAAGCTGTCGATCCCCTAGCAATTGCAGCATACGGCGATATAGCTGTGAAGGCTTGCGATCGCCTAACTCTTCCGCAGTGAGGAGTTGGCGAAGGCGTTTTTGATCAGAATCTGATGTGTCGTATTAGCGCCTCTTTGAGGAGGGCATACCGATCACCGTTTGGTGGATTGAGCAGTAAGTCACGCACTTCCCGTACTTCCCGTGCAATCTCAGGTTGTAATGAGCCTACTAAATAGGCATATTTAGTAGCGTCGACTGTGATCCCCCTTGTGGTGAATTGTGCCTCCACCTGTGTAAACCACAAGGTGGGGTCATGTGCCCAGTAAGGAGGCAGTTTCAGGCTGACTGCAGAAGTTACTGTAGGTGCTACTACTGGTGGAGCAAGTGGTTGTGCAACCACCAAATTTGATTTGATTTGATCTGATTTGATTCCAATCTGAAGTAGGAGAACATGCCAACTACGACCATAACCGCTTCTTTTACCAGCATACAACTAGAAGTGGTGGACATGCAGATGATGACCCTTTACTCTCGCTTTTATTCAATATGTATAAACAAATACGTTATAACATATTAAATACTAACAACACCGATGAAACCAAATTCATCTTGAAATCGGAGTCACCAATTTAGTAGTTGTATGACGCAACGGAAAGAATACAACAAACTAACTTGTATACCGTAGATAAAATTTATTTCAAGTGAAAAATGCTTAATGTAAGCTATAAAAACACTTGGCTATCGATGAAGAAAATAAGATAAAATTGGAATCAAATCAAATCAAATCAAATGAAATGCTGAATAATTATCTGGCAATGATAACTTCTTAATATTTTCAGGTAATGTATTTTTGTATGTTTTATTTTCACATAAATTTTGCAAGATATTGGAAAATTCACTTTCTTTACCCTTTGGTGGTGGTGACACAATAGCAATTGCATGGTCTTTGTTTAATTTTATGGGCTTGACATTGCCATATTTTTCTAAAAGGATTTCAAATCGGCCTTGTCTAACACCTCTTAAATTGATATTATGACATAGGTTATTAAATTTTTCTTCTCTATGTGTTTGAATTCTTTTTGTTTGCTTCTGAAACAACATTTTCTATTTTGAGTGCCAGTAATTTCTCTACAGACCTTGCAGCACAGTGCAGAAGACATAGGACAACATTGCATGTTGGAATTAGTGGGAGAATAGAAGTTGGATGGTTTCGAGTAATTTTTAAATCTAAATCAAGACGACAATTTGTCAATGGATGGATATCGTTTTTTGTTTTTATTGACCTTTTATTGTAGATACACCAGTTGTCAACTGAAGATGGATGTAGGCCAATTTCTCCATCATCTAATATTTTTTCTAAAAACATTCATCTCCTGATAGAAAAAATTCATCATTTCTATTCCTACTTATAAACAAATTTAACCATGAGTTATGTTTGTAGCCCATGTTTAGTTCAACATTTTGTTGTGAATCAGTCAGCTAATTTCTCTGCCATCCCCATATATTCGCCAATTAATCTTTGTATCCAACCAGTGGTATTGAAATAACAGAAGGTCTTTAAGTCTATCAACATCTACTTTTCACCCGGGTAAAAGGATGGCTTTAAATTCACTTTCATAAATCTTTTTTTGAGTTCTTTCTTTGCGTTGACTAGGAATATGATTTGGAAGCTTTT